ACCATGTACTTTTTCTAATTATCTAATACTTAAAAAACTAACACTTACGTACTTACAGGGTTACCATAATTCTCCTTCTCTCTTTAATAATATACAATAATGTGTAATTAATAAATCATAATTAATTAAGAATACATAATGCGGGTGAGATTTAACGCATTAAAGTTTGTAGGTACTTTTTTGTTTAAATATCACAAAAAAGTATGAAATGAATAGATTTTCCTATACCTATGCCTGAAATAAAAACAAATGTACATAATACATTTCTATACCACTTCAGTTTTATTAGTTTGAAGTAATGAAGCTAAAAAAAGCTCGATCCAGGTCGCAAACGCCAACTTTTAACTAGTCTATTTGCCTACAGTCAATTCAATAGCCAATGGCAAAACGCTAGATAAAACTAATGTCTTGACTTGACCCAGTACAGAAATATACATAATAATATAGAAGTACTCATTAGCATTTATTTAAAAAATAAACCCCATACAAGAATATAATTAGTTACGCTTTCGTACTTCACAAAAACTGAAGACAAAATAAAAAAAAGAAGAAAGCTTTTGAAAATATACTATATAGTTACTATGTTACTCACCATGACGTGTCTTACATAACATAACAAAACATATATTGTTCCATAATTCACAGTAACAGTGAACCATGAACACAACAAAGGCACAAGCTTACAAGTGAAAGTTAGAACCGCGCATGCGTGAAAGTAAGCACAATATTTGGATATAATACAATGACATATTTTTTCTTTTATGTCAACCATTGCAGTTTAATAAATCGTTTTCTATAAAATCTAAAAACCTACTACTATGTTCCTTTTAATTTATTTATCTTGGGCCAGGAAGAATTGTATCTGATATTTGGTAAAGGCATTTGTTATTTTGTAAATCGTATCTTATCGACGGCATTTGGGTGTGTACGTCTTTCTACAAAATCATCATCATCACATCAGCCCCAGGACATCCACTGCTGAACATAGATAGACCTCTCCCTTTCAAATAGGACGGTTGGACGCGACCTGTATCTACCGGCGAAAATACATTTCGTATCGACTTAATTTAACAGTAAAGATTTCTGCACCAAAAGTATCTCGTTCTATCACTAAAGTTATTTATACAAATATGAAACATTTTATAGCACAACTATTTATAGCATCACTTTTAAATAAAAAGTTATATTTAGTTAAAATATCATTAAACTAAGTAGGTACCTACACAAGTGCTATGAGCGGCGTTGATCGCTTACCATCAAGTGATCCGTCTGCTCGTTTGCCTTCTATTCCATAAAAAAACAAAGGTACCAAAAGTTAAAATAAGTTATTAATAAAGGTATGATTATTTTTAAATACTCAAACGTTGCAGATGCATATTTAAAAAAACAATCTTCTTTGAGACATATTTAGTGCACCTATCTTAACACTCAATTAAATAACTGGATCAAAAACAATACCCTTCCTATAGTCGGATACAAAAGCGTATCTATTAAACGAGCTACTTAAAAATTCAGTACATGTTTGAAGCCTACTTTTGTTAGTATAATTAGAAAGCGGAAAAATATAATAATATCCAATTAGGATTCTGCACAACGCCATTTTAGTTATCATTTATGAATACAAGAGGTGGTTCCAACAAGTAAAGGTTGTAAAGTACCTACTTTATAATGTATTTTTCTTTGGGAACTTTTTCTTCAGGTACTTACCTGCCTAGGCTAGTGACTATGTGAATGTGTACTAGAAACCAATAAGAATTTTTCGGAATGAGTTATTCCGAAAAATATAAGCTCCAAACACATTAAGTGCCGTTATATGTGCACCTCTGCCTACCCCTTCGGGAATAAAAGGTGTGATGTTATATTATCTTATGTTATGTTATAAGCCCCAAACTATAAAAATAATGCGAAAGAATTACATGTTATTTCAACACTCTATTGTACCTAACATGTCATAATTTCCAGATTTCCTGAACTTAGATGAGGCTAAGAAACTCATAGAGCCGGCGGCGCCAGAACTTCGCGAAGAACTGCCGTCCTGTAAGTGGAAGTGCAAGGGTCCAGCATGTGCCTGCTGCATTGAGAAGAACATCACGTCTTATGACCCGGAAGGAGCAAGTAATAAACATTTATAAATTATTAAGTGTGTCTTTACTATTCACGGGACCACAAAGTCTCGGTCATTTGGGAGGCGTACGAGGGGCCGAAGCAAACTGCGTAGAGGTCCTTTAGACAACTTTAATCTAAATATAATGGACACACACAATAATTTATTATTATTTATTTAATTTTAGGCAGTATCGTATTTTATATGTATCGTATTTTCTATATTAGTTATGTGTCTGTCAAGTCTGTTTTTAAACTTCATTCTGTGCAGCGATTACATCTTCTGGTAGCTTGGTTTATGCTCTGACTACGCTATTACCTAGACAGTGTCTATGATCGTTAAATTTAATTAAGCAGGTTAATTTTACCAAGGAAAGCTTTGTGTAGAGTAAAATATGTTGATATTTCTCCTTATCATTCCGCGAATATCATAAGTGCCGCACAAAAGACTGAGACTGACTTTTTAATAGAAGCCAAAGAGACAGCTGCTCTTTCTGATAAATCTGGCCTTTGGAACTACGTCTTATGTAGAGGAGGTCTTTATTGCTGCAATGCAGTAGTTAACTATAACGAACTGTTGATATAAAGAAAATTCATGTTAATTTAATAAAAGATAATCTTATGGTTCACTTGTTAGAAGTCAATATGCCGAATGACAGATGTGATTAAAATATGCAACTAATTTTCATTCAAGAATACTTACCTAATCTGCGATATGTATTTAATTAATATTTTACTCGATATTAATTTTGTAAATTGTATGTAATTTCCAGAATGCGTTCACATGAGGTATCTCTCAAAAGATGAAGGATTCTTCGTGCAGGTTTCACATGGCAAGAAAGTTGACTACGAAAAAATTCAACGTAAGTACAGCTATATATTTCTAAAACGAATTACTATTGCCTGCACCCTTATGGGCAATTTGTTTCTATCGGGTCCATTTATTTGCATCACACTCTTAATGTCCACATGTTTATTATTATGAATTCAACACGATAAAATTAATATTTCGTTTAAGCACTTCATAGATATCAAGGCAGAATAATACTTTTACATCAAGAAATATGTAACTAAAAGATAAACAGTCCACGGTACAACTTTAAATAATTAGCCAATTTAAAACTAAACCACATCTATTCGTCCATTGGAATAAAACTTTCAATAAGGGCGCTTGCCCACGTTTCTAAAGAAAGTTGTTCCGCCAACTAAGCGGTTGCAATCACCTATATTTGCATCTAGAAATTTCTCGGATTAAATCGCGAGAAAGTCGAATGCAATGCTTGTTACTCTCGCGTCTTACACTTCCTTTCAGCTTTCATTTAAGTACATACTTCGGAAGCTGTGGTTATATACCGTGAGATTATTCTGTAACCGATTAAAACTTATGTCTCTAACTAGAAATACGTATAATTATGATTCTCATACAAATTACAACGTCATTATTTGTTATAATGCTATACATTGGATACACAAAAGAATTTACTTAATAATTCCCAACAACATAATATAGAAAGAAAGAAGAAAGAAAGAAAAACCATTTATTTTGCTACGACACACAACAAGAATTTAGAAATATCTTTCTTGTAATCCAGTTATTTTTGGAATCATACCTAATTTCATCTTTGAATCCGATCAAAAGATAGCTTTCATTGTACCTAATTGTAATCTTTAAAATTATAATAGGACACTGTAAATTATTCTGAGACTGCCAAACCGGATAACAAATTTAGATTGTTAAATTAAAAACCAAACATATGACTTTATAGTTCTGTATACGTGTTAACTACCCTATTTATTTTTTACGTTACAGCATCAAATCCTGAACCACTTGCCTTGTGCTCGGGGTGTTCTTCCAAATGTGCGCCACATTCAACAAGATGGCGGTTACCGCGGACGGTCTACAAGGCTGCGTGAACTTAGAACCTGGTACCATATTCGTATCACAACGTAAGATTCCACTCGGCTGCTTCAAGGCTAACGAAAGTTTAATGGAAATGTCAGATCCACCAAAAGAAACGTAAGTACCTCGTATGCAAATAACATTACACAATAGAATACGCACTATTATGTAGAACTATATTCCACATAATACGTGTGATTGTGTAGCCAGTAGGTATGAAAACCACTATCTACGACAGTCTTGACAGTTAAGTACACCACAACCTTAATTAATCAAGAAGATAATAATTTTTATCAAGTTTTCTAGAATTCAGCCGTGCTTAAATTATTTGCTAATAAAAAATAGTGGCCTTGAGCCTTCATTTTGTTTATCAACATAATATTTAATTCAATTAATCTAAATCAGAGATTAAACATGATAATGGCATTGCACAAAAAAATAAACTTTGACGCATCATAGACACATACACGACTTACAATACAATAGAATTGAACTATTAAATTGAATGGAAAAGAAAATAGTAGTATTTAATGAAGTAATTTATTCGATTTTCATTTTCCAGAGCCGAAGAAGCAGAAGTTAGCACAGATGACAACGGTGAAGACAGTGAAGACGTTGAATTTGATCCGAATAAGTTTTTCGCCGGAGTATATCAAACTGCACAGCAAAGTATTGCACTACTGAGTAGTCTTTTAGAGACACCAAGCAGTAACAGCACTTCGGTAAAACCAGCCAGTCCCACTGAATCCAGCAGTTCCCCGCCTCCAGAAAATCCAACAGAGTCTTCACAAAGAAGAGGTCCCAAGAATTTGAAACATCCCAACTTATTGTGATAGTATACTCGCAGGCATTTAGATATGAAATGCATTTAACTTAGATTATAACTTCTGTTCTCAAGCTTGTAATGAATCAGTATCCTATTTATTGCTTTAAACTTTGTGATGCAACTGACTAGTAATAGTAATAAAATAATGTTGATGGTTGTTTGTTGTTTCAATCAACCTTGGGAGAACGGAGGGGATGCGTTTGTTTCCAACAAGTATACACCAGTTCTCCTGAAAAAAAAATATAAAGTTGATAATTTCTCTTTAAAACTTAATTTTGTTGGACATTAGAAATGATCAAAATTCTAATTGAAAAACTTTCAAAAACACTCACCCAATCTTAGGTCTGAGTCCTCCCATCTCTAATCTTCCTGGCAATAAATCACATGAGCTCATAATAGCAGCGAAATAGTTCAAGCATTGTCTGCCAGTGAAACCACCTGATGTGATGGATTCAGCAAAATAGAAATAGCTTCGTGCATGGTCGCAGGCGTGGGAGTCACATCCTGGCATAGATATGCCTCCGTTAGGGTAAAAGTCAACGTGGCCAAGGTCTGCTAGGTAACCGTTGATGCCGTAGTTCGTGTGGATAACTTCAGTATATTGCCCATCGTTGGCATCGAAGCGGTCAGGGTGGCTGACCCAACCAATGAAAGCAGGGTCCAGAGCTGAAATGAACATGAAATGTTGATTTATTTAACGCTCCCGATTACAAAGCGTTACATAACGAATTATTTCAATTTCAAAGTCTGACCTGTAATGTAAGCAATATCACCGTCGACATTTCGGCCAACAATACCAGCCTGGTGTCCGCCGAAGCCGTGTCCAACAATATGGTACATGGTAGGAGTGGCGCCCGACTCTCTGTTCACCCAGTTAATGAAGGCTCCCACAGCTTCACCAGATGCGATAGTGTTCCTAATAACAGTCCTGTAGTCAATGGAACTTGCTCCAATACTCCAGTCTACTACGATGATGTTGACATCTTCAGCGGCAAGGAACACTAGGGACACAATACTAAGTTTTTAAAATAATCCTGTCATAATACCTACCAATAATAATGAAATCATCATCTTCATCAACAGCCGTAAGTCGTCTAGTGCTGGACAAAGGCCTCCCCGTTAATTAAATGAAATGTATTTCATGAATTACCTAATTAATGGAATGAGTTCCATTTCAATGAAATTAAAATTCTTAATAAGAATAACCTTAACATGTTTTATGATTCAATACACACCTGGAATAAGAACACTATTAAAGTTAGCGGTAACTGATTCCAACCATCCATGGATGAGAACAATTGTGCGTCTGTCCTTCCTGTAGTTAGTAGTCTGAAGTAGTGAGGGATTGTTCAAAATTAAGGGCTGGCTGACAACTGGATTATCCCTGTAAGAAAAAAAGAATTTGGTGGGTATATTTTTAATTGCCATAGTAACCTATACATAACCCTAAATAGCTGCCGCGTTGGCCGAATGGTCGCAAATGCGACTGCCGCGCAAGGGGCGTCGGGTTCGACTCCCGGGTCGGGCAAAGTATACCTGGGTTTTTAAAAACAATCTCAGTGGTAGCCTGAAGTCTGGAATTGTACCCAGTATATAACAATAGGCTCACTCCCTATTACATGGTACTCATAGCATAAATAGTGAAAACTGTTACCTTTCGTGTAAAAAGACGTGATGTTGTTGTTATGTTTCAATCAAAATTACCTTGTAAACAAATGGTATACATTTGTTTGGATTGGGTCATATCTGGCTCCTGTGCTGACGTGGGTCGCATATTGCTCCAGGTGTTCTAAGTCAAGACTTTGTGGCAGAGGATTTGGAAGGCCTGGAAAGGAATATGGTAATACATAATTAAAATATTCGCCTATTTCATTAACCGAGTAACTACAAGCCCTTGGTCTTTTGTCCTTATCATGTCATGCATTTTGTTAGTAGTATCACGGAGTCTGGAAATTTCTCGTGGTATTACTATCTTATGACATAGAAATTCCATTCCATTTAACTATATTGCATTTAATACATGCTATCCCTTAAGAACATCACCCGAAATATAGGTAAGTGATTTTTTTTTTAAATTTAATATCATCATCCAATCACTCCTCCCACCTTGGGTTAGGTGAGAGGGAGTGTCAGACTCTTACTGACTAAAAACCACCCCGTTTCTACTCCTGCTCTTCGAGCCTAAGCCCTGGCAACCCTTAGGCCTTCCGAGATAAGTATTTTGTTATTTCGATGTTATATTTAGTTTAGAAAAAACATTATAACTTTAAATAATGTTACTGTAAGTACCACGTGATGTTACTAGACAAAATTCTAATTCAAGATAAAAGCCAAAATAAAAAATAGAATGACTGGGCAAATCTGAACATAGAAATCGGACTTAATCGTCAACTGGCGAGCGCGAATCTCGCGAGCGCGCGCGAGTTGGCACTTTTCGATTTTGCCTACTTTTTTTGTCGTCAACTCGCGCGTCTATATAATTTGATGTTTTAATGTATAGTCAGCTACAAAAGCGTTATAACAAATTTAATTTAGTTAGGTATTTACCTACTATAAATGTATAAGAAACTTTATGAAATTTGATTTTTAAAATAAAACAAAATATACATCGTTTTGAAATCAGTTTATTATAAATCAACAGGACAAAATATAAATTATTAGTAGTATTTCCCTTACTAATTATCAACAATATCACATTGATTTGAGAATTTGGCTTAGTATCTAGTATGTAAATTGTAAAAAACTAAGTAAATAAAAAAATTAATAGCAAACCCAAAAGTATTGCTCATTTTTTGACCATCTTAAAAGAAGAAGATAATTATTATCAGACTTTATACTTAAAGAAGCCTAATATAACTACAAAATGTAAAGAAACTTGTGCTATTGACGAGCACATTACCAACACTGTTAACGAATTTATCCATGGGGTTATAAATATTGACTTATGTATCGAACTTTTGATCTTGTGATTTTTGATTTAATTTAGCATAGTCTGTTTATTTTAACGTTTGCTATAAAAATCATTTATAACAAACCATGATCTGTGATTTTATAGTCTGTGATTAGTTTTATTAGTAGGTCGTCAGTAATAACTTAGCCAATTGATGAATCTACTTATTGATAGTGTTTGGCGTTTTTTGTAAAAATAATTTACAACCATATCTGATCTGTGATTTTATAGTTTCTAAGACTCTTTCTATGGTTCCTAAGATTGATTTTATTAGTGAGCAATAATAAGTCAGTTTGTTGTCAACTACTATGTTTAGCTTTACTATTTTATATTTACCAATATTCAGTACGGTTTAAATTATTTATATTATGAGATTTATCGAAAATCTCCTCACATATAATTTTGTATACGAGTATGTGAGGGAAGTGTTTTCGTTGTTTCTATTTTATTTACTTAGTTTTTTACAATTTACATACTAGATAATAAGCCAAATTCTCAAATCAATGTGATATTGTTGATAATTAGTAAGGGAAATACTACTAATAATTTATATTTTGTCCTGTTGATTTATAATAAACTGATTTCAAAACGATGTATATTTTGTTTTATTTTAAAAATCAAATTTCATAAAGTTTCTTATACATTTATAGTAGGTAAGTACCTAACTAAATTAAATTTGTTATAACGCTTTTGTAGCTGACTATACATTAAAACATCAAATTATATAGACGCGCGAGTTGACGACAAAAAAAGTAGGCAAAATCGAAAAGTGCCAACTCGCGCACGCTCGCGAGATTCGCGCTCGCCAGTTGACGATTAAGTCAGAAATCGAGGTTACCTTATCCAAAATCTCATTTAATACCTTAACCCGTCGTGTGTCTAAACGTGAATCCACGCGAGATACAATGTATTTTCTATTGTGTTTCATATACAGGCATTCAAGCGGTTAAACTTTATGAGCTAAACATCTCAATTTATAGAAAGACTGATAGAAAAATAGAAAACTCACCATATCCTAGACCAAGAACGGATAAACAAATTAAAGCTGCTAATTTGTTCATGGTTACTTCACAAATGTTATAATTAATTGGTCGATAACAAGTCTTAGGTCAGTGTAGGTAAGATAAGCACCTGCCCAATTATCTAAGGAATTATTCAGTTAGATTACAAGTACTAAGATGGTATTAATTTATTATAATTATTATCAAAATGTTCCTATTATTCCATTTAATTACCTACGTTTGACAATGAATTAGTAAATATTTACACCAGATAATAACGACTAGATATTTAATCGACTTGTCAAAAAGGTGGTAGTTCTCAATTCATCTGTATATTTTTGTGAACTCTTTAACTATTATTATTTGTTTGTGCAAATTCAACTTCTAGAATCTATTTTATATAATTTATTTAAATAAGAGAATGAGATAATTTGTAATCCTACTAAATACATATTTAGCACGATATGGGGCCAAATTTTATTTAATTTTCATTTCACACCCTTTCAGCACTTATCCCAGAAGTGAAAATGTATATCGTATTCACATAATTGTTTTAATTAATAAGATATTTGGCAACAGATAGTTTAACTTGAACATAATATATCAATTGTCATTGGTAATACATGGTTAGGTATCTACTTAGATTGGACTTGATGGGAATGAGGACCTATATATAATATGGCTCATAAAAATTGGGTGGTTTATTATAAACTTGTACCACTGTGTACGACCCCTTTAGGGATTAACCGCTTGAATGAATTGTGTCTCGCGTGGGTCCAAGTTTTGACACACGAAATGTTAAAGGTGTAATGTTGTTAGTAAAGACTTGGCCAGAATTAATATACGGAACTTGACCAGGATTAATAATCAACTATTTCATACGCCTCTAAGATTTTGGTGGTACTGACTTAATAATGTGACCAAAATATTTGTTTGAAGTGTGTTTTCCAAATAAAACAATTCAAAAATCATACAAAAGGCCTATAATTTCACATTTATTTATTCACTGAAGAGTTTTGTATGCCGTTTAAATTAAAAACAGAAATTAAACAGTATTAATATATACTGATTAGCAGTGACCTTATCAATAATTATCAAGATTGATGTGGTTGTCGACCCATTTCATGATAAATCAACTAATCTTTTAACAACTAATTAGGTACTTAAAATTATTCAATATCAAAATGATTTCGAACTGATAAAGTGCGTTAAGGATTTTGACAGTATTTTGAAATTTTTTTGCAATAACATAGGTGGTACTGCCATCGCAAAATAGTTTTAAAAATAACAATAACAAGCACTGATCAGAAATTATATATTATACCTGTGAGTCTTTAGTTGTTATCATAGCTTATATTCTAGACCACTAGACTAAATTCTAGATTAGGCCAAGGAATGCATAATTATATACATATGTATTTCATATAGCTACATGTTTAAGTGACTACACATAAGTCTAATAATTATTTTGTCAATATTTGAGCAGAGGTTGAAAACGTTATTTAACGTCACGGTTAAACAATTTGGTTCTTAGGAAGACGATAATGGTTTAAGAAATAAACCGTTTTCCGAGCCCTGTACCTATTTGATATTATATCTACGATATCGACTTTACTCTTCATTCTACTCGATACTTCCTACATCCATCCGATGTAACCATAATCTAAAATCTTCTAGTGACGTCGACTAACATAATACGATTTCGATGGTTATCGATGAATAGCTTGAAAACAATCGATAAAGTAATAATTAACGAAAATGCTCTTATCTCTGATGAGATTGAGTAAGAGAGGGTTTTTCCTAATTAGTCTTTTCTACTATATCATGTAATGTATTTGTGAATTGTATTTAGAAATAATTTCCTAACTACATTAAGAATTAGGCAGTTCAAGAAGCGATTGATCAGGTATAATTATTTCCGCAGTACATCGTGTAAAGCAAAATTAAATACTTTTAGCGTACAGAAATGGTTTGCGTTAAAAAATAACAATTTTGGAGGCGGTTTCCTTTTATTAGATAATTCGAATACAAATTAAGCATATCAACCTTAGCACACAATATGAAAACAATACTAATTAGTATTTAGTTAATTAATAATTAATAAGAAAAATATAAGTCTCTCAGTACTTCACCGATGTTACCGCTCCGAATGACAGCTGACAAAATGGGCGAGCCTGGGTTGTCTCGCGCTTTTCATAGTTAATTGAAGATCGAGTTTTGGTCATCCCTAACAATACAATATAATTGACCACATCCTGTAAGCATTAAGGAAAACAAAACAAATACAAGTTATTTATAACAAAAATCTTAAATTAAAATATGGGCTTTATAAATTACAACGAATTCAATTATCTGATAAAATCAGATAGCTTTGTATCAGACAGTTCCGTGATACTTTTAGCGATGAACGACTTACATTTTGAACGGTATAATTTGTTATCAATAGGTTTTCAGTTTTATTGACCAAGTTTACTAATTATCTTTGACGGGATTACCAATATTGTAATCTAAGATAAATACTATAAATAAATATCCGTTGGTTACTTTTACTGTATTAGTTTGGACAAAATGGCCGCGCTCGCGAAGTGTCTAATCGTCCTGTGCGCTGCTGTTGCAGGTACGAAAATCGTGTTTATTTTAACTTAGTATAATACTAAGCAGGCTTAGCTTACGTAAAAAGTCTCCGTATGAAGTTTAATTATAAAATTATTTGTTAGTATTTAATTAGGAAGTAGTTAAGAGGATTAATAAGATAATAGCAACTGTGTGACAAGAACACAAATTGATTGATTGAGATTACGTCGGCTACATAGTATCTACTTATTTACTGTATCAGTAGATAGGAAGCAAAACCAAACACTGGTGTCTACGGTTTAGTGATCGCTTAATTAGACCCTCAAAACGTTTCTTACTGAAGTGATTAGCATTCATTCATTTATTTCTTCTTTCCAAATCACTTATGTTTTTCTCTATATGTGTGACTGCCTACAAATTGAATGAATTACCATTTAGTATAATACAATGTAAATACAAATCACGTATATAAATATAACGTTACTGACCAAACCCTATATATAGTGAAAAGTGGGTATTACATTGTACAGTGGCATAATGTGTACCTCTGCCTACCCCTCCGGAATAAAAGGCGTGATGTTATGTATGTATATGTTTACCACCCATCATGAGACATTATCTCTGAATTTCGCGGTCTCTACATGAAATTACGATTTTAAAACTGATTAGGTATTACCATGTGATATAATTACGTTTCTAATTAAGGGTAATTAAACAATTAAATCCGATATGGTGCGCTTACGTCTCTATACAAACGATAACTCCAATTTCAATAAACAAAATATTTTAATTGACACTTTCTTTGGTCAAATGCAACATTATTTTTTTAACATCTAACAAGTTTATTGATATCATAAGCTGTGGTAAAATATTAAAGGTTTATGAAGACATTTCCCGAATTGCATCTATGTAAATGAACTTCTAGGTATTATAAATACGACTGTGAACAAACCTTACTGAAACCCATGAAAGTTAAAATTGACATGACTGACGCATTGACTGTACGGTTGGCACACTGAATAAATTCTTTGTATACACAAATCGTTGTTTTAAATCTGGGTGTGAAGTGTCTGTGAATTGGTATCTTCATATACACCCCCTCGACAGACAATTCAAGTGCGGGGCTAAATACAGAATCACTTCTCCGGCCACCGTAAGCACGGGCCCGCGGACGGTGACCATGAGTAGCTCGCCGACCGACCATAACCAGACCCGAGTGTCCGGTACGTCGCGTTCCGCGGGCGCCTCAAAGAGCCATCAGACCACCACAGATAGGGCCCAATAAGGCTGATGCCGATACGGAGCCGCGGAGAACTTGACGGGTTGCCGGGGCTCCGGCTCGAAGTGTAGGAGTAGGAACGGGGTGGTTTTTAGTCAGTAAGAGTCTGACAATCTCTTCCGCCTCACCCAGACGGGAGAAGCAATTCGATAACTTTCTCCCCTTAAAAAATACAGTATATCACTAAAAATTGTGTGTTAAAATTAATCGAGACATAGGTACATGTCAATGTTACCTACTTATGGAAGTCATGACTACACTTGTTTATTTTTCAGCTACATAATCGCATAATCAATTAATCTAAAATATTCGGATTATTTTCAGTAATCCTATCTTAATGTAAAACCTTCCTGTGATTAAATTTCGGCGCGATGCATTTATGATTATAATACTGATAATATTAGGTATTATAATCAAATGGTACGAATAAATAAAATTTAGATATCCGTTGACAATGTAACACGATACAAATACCTAATATTTTGTACTTATTAATGTTAACAGTGTATTTTTTATTTAAAGAGAATGCATCACAAATCCTATGACAAAATAATAATGGAAAATCATATATTTGATTGGTTATAATTACATTTTTTATAAACGAATTTATTTTCTGATACAACTTCCCAATGTTAGATTATAGCCAGTCAAGCGTGTTGACCTCACTTAGACGAAGAGCCACATCCTTTACTAACATAACTAAGTACCATAACCAATCACATTTTATTGTATTAACTTGTAAAGGGCATTGTTAAAAATGGCCTATGAATCAACACGCATGAAACATTTATCATAATTCTGAGTTCTTTTAATAACATACATTACAAATATTTCTATACCACGGACACTTTTTAATTTCGAGAGCATTTTAAAAAGTATTCACATCCGTCCTCAGCTTTCGTAACAATACTCGGTGATAGTTCTATTACTTTTTGGTTCTATTTGAGGCTGAGACAATCAAGGAGGGTGACACAAACAAGGATCTGTATTTTCAACACTTGATATAAGATAATAATTTTTAGTTACAAACAGTCCGCTATGCTGGCGTACAACCATAGCCAGCGCATTCAGTGCTCGATCTGCGTTTGTGTACTGAATTCGTTTGCATTTTCTTACTTTTCTGATTTTATCTAACCACTTGGGGTGAATAAAGGACTGTGACTCTTGAAATATCGACCTCTGGCTTAGTATTACTGATATGGACCTA